TGAGACCTCCTACTTTGTTTTTCTTCTTCAGTAGTGCTTTGCTTATCCGAGGTCTCCTTCCTTTCCATATAAAGTTAGTGATAGTTTTTTCCATATCCCTAAAGAATGTTGATGGGATCTGGATTGGGATTGCATTGAATAGTATATGTCACTTGAATGCCTCACAAAGATGGTTGTAAAAACTTTTGTAATAGAGTAGAGGGATGGGTTCAATATCAAGGGCATTAGACATGATCAGTTAGAGCCTTCGAGACCATTTCAGGTACTCTTAAAGTGTCTTTCTATCCTTGGTGGAGTAGGTAGTGGGGGCCCTCCCAAGTGAAATGTAGTAATAACTCTGAAAGTTGTGAATCTTGGAGCAGACTATTCAATGAGCTGTGCTGATTCCTAGGAGTATTCCTGCTGGCCCCCACATCACCCCAGTCTCTCTCAGAAGGCAGAGCATTTGTAGGTATGGGTTGAATTTCCTATCCTGAAAAGACCTGGTAGTGGACTGTGAGGAACACTGTAATTTACTGGCTCACCACCTCCAAAGTGCTGAATTACTGAACAGGGTTACAGAGAACCCTCTGAAGGTATAAATGGTTTCCACATTATTTGGAGTTTCCCATCCAGATGGATTTCTTTTTCCCCCTGTGCCTGCCTCCCACCAGCTGCTCTTTTTCCCCTCTAGGCATTTCAAAACAAGTGAAGGAAGGAACAACACAGAAAAAAACAAGCACTAATGTTCTTCTCACCTCCCTCCTCCTCACCCCCTCTCATACACACACAATATAAAAATAGAACTGGTTATTTTTTTGTGGGGCTGCTTTGGTCTCTGTCTCTCTCTCAAGGCAAAACCCCTTTCAGAGAGTCTGTGGTGACTTGTATTGGGAAGCACTTTGCACAGTGCTCTGGTGGAGTACGGTGTGCTCCTGGAGTAAACAGACATGTAGGAAAGACTGAAGCAGTGTGACAGACTTGGGGGGTAGTAATGGGAAATCTTGGTAGTTTGTGGTTTTCCCCTCATCTAGCAAGGAAGCAAAGGGGGGAGGGTGCCGATATGGGATCCATACTAGGGGGTAGGGGCAGGTTGCTTACAAGCTAAAGGTTCCCTCCCTGTTTTTATTCATATGATGGATTTCAAAGAACTTCATCAAGGGAAGAGGCCACAAAAAGGGAGCCCAGAGCCTAACATTTATTTAATGGGGAAAGTAAGGGTACATGAAGCTGTCCTAACAGTTTGAGTCAACAGTAGTTGGTCCGTTGTATGGACTTGAACCTTGGTTGCCATTTTTGACCCTGGCGGGGAGAGCCACCCCTTCTCCTCAGATTTCCTTCCGAGAGGCACTGTCAGACAGCAGCCATGCAGAGAGGGCCAGAACGCAGGACGGTGCGTCCTGAACTACACCGGGTCTTCTCTAGAGGACTCGATTCACCTCTGCTTAACGCATCTCACTTCTTTCCCTCCTACAGATGGATCTGTCTGTAGAAACCCTCTTTAGCTTCATGCAGGAGCGCCAGAAAAGATACGCCAAATACGCGGAGCAGATCCAGAAAGTCAATGAGATGTCTGCCATCCTCCGCCGCATTCAGATGGGCATCGACCAGACTGTGCCCCTGATGGAAAGGCTCAACAGCATGCTGCCCGAGAGCGAGAGGCTGGAGCCCTTTAGCATGAAACCAGACCGAGAGCTCAAACTCTAGAGCCGCTTCTCCCGTCCTGCCAGGCCCGTGTTTTGTGGGACAGAGCCTGGCACCATCACCAATACCCTGAGGATATTTGGAACCAAAGTCATGTGATCTGACCAGGGTTTGAAGCTGCTTGGAGGGTCTGGTATTCCCTGAAGTTGGGTGTGAAGCTGTCACTGGTCTGAAAAATCAGACTTTGCCCTGATTGTTTCCTCAATGATTTTCCTTTTGTAAAATGAACCAAACTAATTCTCAATGATAACCAAAGTTGGAACATTTGAATTACTAGGAATTGTTTACAGAACTCAGCATTGGGAATTATGTTTATTTTGCTAAGACTTTCTTTTTTTTTTTTTTTTTAAGCATGTATAATCTAGTCCAGCTAGTTGAGTGAAAACATGGAGAGAAGATGATTATTTTAAGCAGCTCTGTGTAGCCTTGATGCCGTCATGAAATTTTACTCAATAGGCTCTCCAGTCTGTGAGTTATAAACATAGAAAACTAATTTAATCTAGGTCTCTGTGCTGTTACTCTTCCTACTCTGACTGGTTACATCCATCACAGCAGGTGTTTATCTGGGCCACCCTCTTCCTGCCTTGATGTAATACTGGTATGTTTGTTGTGTGCCAGGTGATGATGGCCCTCATATGTTGTCTTCAGGAGACTGAAGACTCCTTTTCTGCTTCCTCATCTGATTCATTTCCCATGGTAACTGGTTCCCTTGACACAGACATAGGTTAGGTTTCTTTTTATTACATCAGTGCTGGCAGCACTCCAGATTTTGTTGCAAGGTTTTTAACGAACATTTGTTTTCACCAGTCTAGTAAATGTGTGGTACATTTAGGCTTTGACAGCAGACCACAGAGATCATTCATTCATCAGATATTTATTGAGCCCATTTGATGTGCCAGGCATTGTGGTAAGGTTACAAACATGACTATATACCCCCTGCCCTTCTTTTCTGAAAAGAAAAAACTCAAAATGCTGCTGAAATTCTGTGGCAGTTAATTAAGGAAATGAAGCAATCTGAGTAACCACACAAGTTCTCAGTGCAGTACTTTCCCATCATAGATGTTCTGAAAGAAAGAACTGAGTGCAAAAAAAAAAAAAAAAAAGGAATATAGGGAACTGAACTAGACAGGTGAATTGAGACTGAGAGCTGGGGTAAAGGGAGACAGCAGAGGCCGAGACACATGCAGGCCTCTGCCTGGCTCCCTGTAGGCCTCCAAAACCCAGAAGGTGTGTTGTACATGTCAAAAGCAGCCTTCAGTGTGTTCATAAGATTAAAATTGATCCCGAGTAATTTAGCATATTTTCAGCAAGCCTGTATCTGATTCCAATCTTGTGTTTTAATCAGATGCTGCCTTGGAGGGGTCTTAAAACCCAGAATAAAATGTATGACACAAAACAGCTGGATGACAGTAGGAACTTGAGCATTCTAAGGGAAAGCTTCTTTTGAAATTCAGACACAGGAAAAAGAAGTTAGCAGCTTATAGGATTTTCTAAAGACCAAAACAATCAAGAGCATTCTTTCCCTCTGAGCTAGAAAGGCAAGTTGGACAGCAGAGCCAAGGGAAGAGGCCCGAGGGAACATCTCCCCTTTTCAGAGAATAACCTTCAGATCCCATCTCTGCCTTTTCTGAGAACTGTTGCCTTTCTTTCCTGTTAGGTTGCAGGAGAAAAGTGGGGTAAAGACAGTCATCCAGCAGATACAGGTGGTCAGAGAGAGTCATGGTAGAAAGATTGGAAGGTAAGGAAGGTAAGTGAGGTAAGGTTGGGAGCTCTGTCTTTAAACTCTGGTGGGCCACACAGGTGAAGGAAGTTTGTCTTTACAGTGTCTTCTGATGGCCAAGATTGTATTGGGGCTTTCAGCCATTCCTAGAGCAATTCATTAGAAAGTGTACATAAAGAAAAATGTCTGTAACCTAGAAACTTACTGCATAGCTAAAGCTGTTCTAGGAAATGTCATGGGAGGAAAAGCTGCACCATTGATTAAATACTTCTTTCCCTGGCTAATTTGCAGTACTCCTTCAATGATGTATTAAATTTCCATGGAATTGAGAATCTAGTTCTGCATGATACTGTAATCTATTGCTCTTTCTGTCCATGGTATTTCTTTTTTTATCTTTTTTTTTTTATTGTGATTTGGGTGAAAATTTACAGAGCAAATTCACTTTCCATATAGCAGTTCACATACACTTTGTCTCATGACATTGACTGCAATTTACCACAATGCAGCAGCTCCCCTTCCACTTCCTCCTGATAGTTACCTCTTCCCTGTGTCCATCCCTCCACGCACTCCTGTCCCCTGAGCTGTCTCCCTGTGCATAAGCAGCCCTTCTTTCTCCCATGATTGTTCTCTCCAAGGAGTGTATCTACCTCAGGTAAATGTTCAACTCATATGCCTGTCTATTGTTTGGCTGGAAGCCACAGGTGTGGGTTCAATTCCAGACCTGAAGGGCAGCTAGAGGCCATAGTCTCAGTGGTTCCACCAGGCTCTATCGGACCAGCAAACCTGGTCCCCCTTTTTTCCTCTCCAAATGATTTTGAGTTTTATTCCACATTGTTCTCCCTCTCTATCCAAGATCTCCTACATAGATCCTCTTCCAAGTGGTTGACAGTAGTAGCCAGGCACCATCTAGTTCTTCTGGTCTCATAGTCATATAAGCAGCAGATTGGATGGTGTTCCAGTCTCTAGGACTAATTGTTTGCATGACTTTTGGTTTTCTTCATTCTTCTTTGCTGTGGACGAGGAGAGACCCATCATTGCATCTAGATGGCAGCTTGTAAGCTTTTAAGATATCCCAGTCAAAGAAAGAGGTGGAACAGTGTTTTGTGTAGTATGTTATGCCAATTGAGCTTGATGTCTTCTGCAACTATGGTCTCGAGCTCACAGGTTCAACTACTTGGTCCCTCTGGGTGGCTGGCTGTGACCAAGCAGTGACTACAACCTTGCCCGTTGTCAGCTCTACTATACACCTGGGAATTCAGAACATACACATAAACTTATAGGACCATTGTCTGCCAACCCTATACATGTTCTTGGCTACACTCCCCACTTCATAGACATACCTAATAGTTCAGCCTGTCCTCCCATCTATCACCTGTATATCCATGTTTGCCTTCACTGACAACGCAGTACTGTATGTGCAAGAGGGTTCATCTTTGCAGTCTTTACCTCCCATGTATCTCTCTCTGTCTTTCTCTTCCTCACAAATATAGTACATTTGGTACATTGCCCTTCTCTTCACCCAAATCAATACTTATCACTATCTATCTAACAGTGTTCCCTCCCCACCCCTCCCACCCCTGTTAACCAGCAAAGAAAATTTCCTTCCATAGAGAAACATTTCTTGTCCATGGTATTTCATACTTTTTGTATTTTTTAAATTCTGTTTTAACATTAAAATTTCACAGTGCATTTTAATATCTGATATGGCTAGACTAGGTTCTCCCACCATCACTCATTTTTCTAACTTTATTTTTCAAACCAGCAAAAAGGGTTGAAAGAATAATGCAACAAATATTTGTATCCCCTTCACCTAGATTGATGGGACATGGCATTTTAAAGCATCCCTACCACTGTCCTGTTTTGAGTTCCTGGAGTAATGGGACCCAGCCCTGAACACAGGGCTATACTAATAGCCTTCAGAGAATGAACAACTGATTATAAAGCCATAAAAATATCCTCACTGCACTTAATATGGTTTACAAATAAAACCACAAAATGGGCTGCAGACAGAAGTTGTGCTTTCTCATTGGTTTTCAGCAGTTAATGGTCTGAGCATGGCAGAAAGGTAGACCTTGCATGGCATTAAGAAAATTCTCAGCCAGCATCTCTCCATCCAACTCTTTTTCTTCTTATAAAGAATTTGGCCCAAACCTGCCATTTACTTAGATTGTGTCCTAAATAGATAGAAACTTAGAAGTAAAAAAAAGTAATAGATGTATCAGTATTTTTGGAAAGAATTCTTGTTAATTTAGTATCTGGGGGGGAGGGTTGTAGAGTATCAACTTGGCTAAACTGAACTGTGCTTCCCAGAATTCCCTTTTCTGTTTGTTTCTCTTTAGGAGTGGTCACAGGAGAAATTTGTGTGAGATTTGGAAATGGAAGCAAAGCAGTAACCATGCTTAGTCACTGAAAGTAGGTCAGGCCGTGTTGGATCTCACACACATTTTCATGCATGTTGTACCACTGTCATGAGCAACAGTTGGGCCCACAGCTTCCACGGATCATTTCCTTCAGCTTTTCCAAATCGCAGGCCAGGTATGAGTACTGGCTTTTCCTTCCAGTCATCTATAGCAACAAGGATGAAGGCTTAGCGATGAGGAAAGGCCAGTGTGGGTTTTGGTGAAGGACAGATGCAGGTTCCAGCTTGCTGCTCGTAGTTTCCAGTTGTTCCCGCCCTCTCCTGCAGCATATCCACCTTCCCTCCCAACCGCCAGCACTGTGACTTCAGGCTGAGCTCCCGAAGAAGATGCAGATAAGCTGAGACTGTTTTTTACTCACTCCTACAATTGCTTGGGAGTCACAGGTGGTGCAAATGGCTAACACATTTGGCTGCTAACCAAAAGGTTAGAGGCTCAGGTCCGCCCAGAGGCATCCCAGAAGAAAGATCTGGCATTCTGATTCAAAAACATCAGGCATTGGAAAAAACCCTATGGAGCACGGTCCTACTGTAATACACATGGAGTCACCATGAGTCAGAATCAACATGACAGGTGGTATATAGCTGTATAAGGTCCAAATCCTTTAACAAACCCCTTAGTCTACATCCTTCCTGGTGGTTCTGCTTCTCCGATTGAACCCTGCCTGGTAACATGGTGTTACCAGTTCTCTGCTACCTTGGTATTTTACTTTTTCTTGGTAAGATTCTGGGAATCTGAGTGATTTGATATTTTAAGAGACAGTTATCCTGGATCTCTTTTTGGTTAGTACCCAGTGGACCTATCTGGTCACTATGGGATGTGTCAGACCAAGAACCCTGGCTTAATCTTTCATAATTGAGAAGGCCGGTCTGGCTCTCAAGCCCCTTCCAGCTCTAACATTCTTTGATTCTGATACTTCATTCCTCAGTAACCAGGAGGAGCATCTTTAACT